TAGTCCTTGAACTATATAAAAATGTACAATATAGTCTCTAAATTTGAATTAATGGAAGGACTACATTGAACATTTTTATTAAGTTCAGGGATCATATTGAATATGTATAAAAAGTTCAGGGACCACATTGAACAAATTGAAAGTTTATGGACCACATTGAATATTTGATCAAAGTTCAGGGATTATATTAAACAAATTGAAAGTTCAAGGGCCAAATTGCACATTGAGTCAAAGTTCAGGGACTGTTTGTGTCATTTTCCCTTAAAAATAAAAGCTACATTGGCTTAGATAGTGAGGAGCTCCACCCGAGTCTCATGTTTGAAGCTATTGCTTTCCAGAGGCTATGAATCAGGTTGATTAATTTATTAGGTCAAATTGACAAAAACAAATGAAAAGATGGGCAAAGCAAAGCTTTAGCTGAAAAAAAGATCCTGAGAATATCCGCAAGGCTTGACTCAGAATTAGGTCTATTGCTCTTCCATAGGCTATGTAATTAGGTTGAGTCATTAATTAGGTAATTGGGTCACGCCCATCAAAAGCAATAATCTTATTGGGATCAAGTTATCATACAAAAGCCAAAAAGTCTAAGCATAAGTTTGGCATTATGTTAAATTATCATTAGACATATTAAAGATGGACCTATCAGTTTAAATTTTTTTGTTAGACTTTCTAACATGATATGAGAGCCAAGTTTTACCTAGTTTATTAAGCGTGTGCATCCACCTTGTTCGTCAAATTTCACGTGTTATTCCTAATCCTATCTACATGTGAGAGGATGTTGAAATATTACACATTATATGACTATGGCGTTTATATAGTTCTTATATACATGTAGTTTCCCTCCACCAACCAGACAAATAGGTAGAGAATCGAAATTTTGAGCAATTAGTATGTATGAAAGTGGATTCACAAACATGAATTGTTGTACTTTATTAGACAATTTCTTTATTGTATTTCATGATTTCTATAAGGTTATTTGAATAAAAGTTTCTATCAATTGATAGTTTGATATGAGACATCTTTATAAATAATCATGCGATTATTTAAAAATTAAATAACTTTTTTAAATGTAGAGGAATTACAAAAATTAAATAATGAAATACTTATTGAAGGTAGAGAAAAGAGCAACAAATAAATAATGAATTGGAGGGAGACAATAAGTCTAATGTTGTCAACTAAACAAAACGGCAAAAAAATAGCATAAAACTTCTAAGATTTCTCCATTTGCAATGACTTTCCACAGAGATGTCTCGCTTAAGTAAATATCTGAACTATTGTGAGATAGAAGAATTCTCTCAAACTTTGAGATCACTCAGTTGCTTTGAAGGGGCGGGTCGGATCGACAAGTAAAAGGCTCCGTTTGTGAGCCACTTTCTCAATGGACCTCCAAAGCATCTTGGGAAAAATTAGGGATGTTTGGCAAATTTCTCAATGGGCCTCCAAAGCATCTTGGGAAAAATTAGGGATGTTTGGCAAATTATTTGCCCAACCTTTTGGCTGAATGCTAGCCTTGTGAAAGCCGAAACCCCAAGGCACATCCTACTTTGCCTCGGGCTTTTAGCATTTTCAGAAAGCTCACTCTAGGGTTAGTAAAAAGATATTTCTTCCAAAACTATCCTCACCAATTTTTTCGTTTTTCAAGTTTGCCCTCGTAAGCATTGTTCATCTTTTCTACATAGGTGAAGCTCTGTTAAGAATTGCACGAGGCTAGCCGAGGGTCACCGACGATTGCTCGACCCAGGCAATGCTTGACTGGGTCGCGTGACCTCAGGCGGCGTTCGCTTGGGGCCCTCAAACCCAAGCAGTCATTGCTTGGGTCGTGCGAACCCAGTGATAATCGCCTAGGTCGCATGACCCTAGGCGACCATCGCCTGGGTTCACACAACCTCAAACAAGGTTGCTGACAGCCAAATTTGGCCTTGCTGGCCGCTAATCTTTCATCGATTTTGAGGTTTTTTAAAAATAAAATAGTAAAAGTGCTTTTCAAAGTGTGATTTTTACAAACACTGTTTAAACCAAAAAAAAATATATTAATGTAATTTGAAATTACAATTTATCAAATACTACTTGCATTTCGAAAAACCCATTTAATCTTAAGGCCTTTGCATTTTTCCAAAAACTTTTCCCAAAAGTCTAACCAAACGCACCTAAAGTCCTTTCAATATCTTGGTCAATAGAAATAAATCAATCACAACCATTAATCATGTGAGCCACATTGAATTTGACGTTATTTAAAAATATCAAAAGTTTTGATTGCACTTAATCGACCTATCCGAATCTAGACAGGAATTTCTTGATCAGGACTAGAGAAATCTAGTTTCATGTAATAACGGAAAAATCTATCCACCCCCATAATTACTGTAAGACCCTTAAGTTTTGTGTGGTTCTTATAATAACAAAGTCCAAAATGGTAATTTACGCATTTGACTAGGTAGTTTTTTTCTGTTTGCAGGTAGCTACTTCCACTAAAACCACTCTTGCATTATCAAACCCCTTATAGCCATCGGCCACTCAGCTTCTATCACTTTCTTTTCAAGCATAAGCATCGAATTGCACTTACATGGGTTGACTCTAGTGCGATGCAAAAATAAATTCCTACTGTAGAATAATCCCTCCTATTATGCAATGTCGATTTGATTTTGTTAGATATAATTAGGATATTTCCTTGATTCTCCATTTCTCTCGGGATTGAGCATACATCTCCCTTGATTGTGCATTCCCCTAATCGACTATAATTGATATCATGATTATCTCGTTATCTTAAAAATAGTTATCTGATGGGCTTATGTATTCTCCATTATAACACCTAAAAACATAAAGAAGTTGCACAATTCTCTTTTCCGCATTATTTCTTATATAATCTGAGTAAGGTAAAAGGATCTAGCACTATTGCCTTATTTGCATGAGTCGATTGGAGTTAATTTTATCTATCTCAACATCTATGTATGCTACCAATAAAGAGAAAGATTTTAGAAATGGTCATTCGTGGAAATGACTACTTTATTCTTATTGAAACCAAGGGCCTGCTTTAGATCCTTAGAAGTGATTCCGAGGGTACCTCACCAAAGTAAAAGGAAGCTTAAGCTTATGACTAGGGCCGCCTTGTCTATTTAGATATATGGCGGGCTAATAGGATTGCGTTTCTTAATTTAACGTTCTAGTGCCTGCACGCCCAACTTCCCTAATTGGAGGATAGTTTTTCTTCCCTCACTCCAAGAAATACTCCCGAGTTTAACATCCCAGAGTTTAGATGAAGCATTTTAAAGTCTTGCTTAGGACCAAAGACTTCTCTAATTTCTACTGTCTTTTTAACTTCCACATTTTATTTTGTTTTTTATTTTGTCGAAAAGGTTTATCAGTTATTTAATTATTTAAACATCATAGGAGGATTTCTTTTGCCAGTGTTAACCTCATCAATACTAGCTTGCTATTGGGTTTTGAGCTTGGGCCACCCACAATAGGCTTGGCCCAAGCCCAATCCACAAGCTTTGAAGAAGGAACAGTTTTTTTTCTGAAGAGAAGATCAACTTCTCCTGTAAAAGTGTGCAAGTAACAAGCGTGTGGGAGAGTGTTTGGGTGCATGGGGTGATTATAAAGAGAAACACTAATCTCAGAATTGCAAGCAAAATGGGAATTGAAGGAGTATATTTGGTTGTGGGAGTACAAGTGCTAGTCCGAGTGCATGATTAAATTTTCTGACCGGCACATTCACACAAGTATTATGTGAAGCAATCTCGATTCTCGGGGCTTGTGATACAATTATGCGAAATCCGACATTGGTATCAAAGCATGTCTGTTGCGACCCACCAGATTTTTCCATGAAGGAGAGGGAATGTTGATTGTTGACCGTGCTTCATCTGTATCCGATAAATGCCATGTTGAAGTGTTCTTTATGTGCACTCCATGTTTGACATCGGGGAAATTCCAAAACGGCATGCTCCTCAAATTTTCTTCTCTCTTGTACGATTTTCACATCTGTCGTGGCTAATATGTCCTCGATCTAGTATGAAAAGTTAGAGTTACTAAGAAACTGCTTCAATAATTTTGAATGGAGATTTATAAGCCTTTGAATACTCCAATTGGCAAAAGGCAAAGACGTGAGCCACGACATGTGCCCAAGGAAAGAAAGTGAATTGGCAAAAAGGACACCTTATCCCAGTGCAGTTCCCAACAGCCAAATCGTACGGCGCTAACGAAAGAACTCAATTGCATAACTTTGACAAGTTTTAGAATCCGGTCGCATTCGTTGAAATTTTTAAAACTCGATTGCAATTTCACTGGCGTTATACACTTATTTCATATTGGACCTAAGCATGTTCTTAAAAAGTTTCATCCCGGACCTAGTCCGGATCTCGGGATCCCCATAATGTAAAGAATCTAAAAGGTATTCCATCTCTTCGGGAAAGACAAAGACATAGAGGGAATTAGGGATATACGGCGTGCGAGCACCGGCACATTAAAATAAAGAACGTATTCATGGTGCTCGCCCTCAATGTGTGTCAAACAAACAGGCCACAAAGGCCTCTGTGGGAGCTTCGGCTCATCTTCTACGGTGAAATTACATCTTAACCAAATACCAATTATCCATAAGAGACCAGAACTCAATTACAATTTCACAACCGCTACACACTTATATCATGTAAATTTATGCTAGCGTAGCGTGTGGGACTTCTTAGCAGGCAAAGACAAGAAACCTTTCACATGGGACACGTACAGGGAAGCCGACGAGGAAGGTTCTTTCGGGCCAAATGGGTCAACAATGGATTGATTCGGAGGGTGACGCCAGAGCTTGCAGGTTAGCTGGCCCGTTCATCTTATCCCCCACCAATCAAGACCTTTCCTTTGTCGTGCATTGGACGGCTGATTTTTCAACGCTTTCTTTCTGCCCCTGTCCTCACTCGCTTTTCTTCCCCACCTTTCGTTCTCTCCGTCAAAACCCAGCGCAGCACAGCCTCCTCTTTCTCATCGCCCCCCACACCCCATAAACAAAAGACCGAACGAGTAAGCTTTCCGAGAGCCCACGGCGAAGAATTCAAGCTCACCCAGAAGACGAATTTGGCTCAGAGCGAAGTCGAAGAAGGCCGGCCATCATGTGCTGCTGCTGCTGCGACGATGAGGAGGGCTGCGAATGCCGGCCTCTTGGGTTCCTCCTGGGCCTCCCCTTCGCGTTCCTCTCGCTCATCCTGTCCCTCGTCGGCATCGTGATCTGGATCATCGGGTAACTTGTTCTGTTCATCGCGTATGCACTGCAACTGTTTGACGAAAGTCCTCTTCCCCAAAAGGGCTTTTCTATGTGCGCGCGCGAGACAGAGCGAGACCTACTAGTGTTTTTCAGTGGATGGGGCCAAATTTATTTCGCATGTCACATGTTTGATCACATAAATTCGAGTTTAATCTCATGATTGCATTCGTTCACGGTGATTGCATACGTAGTGTTTGCGAAATTTACAGCGATCGGTTTCTGATTTTTTTATTACTTTTTCTTTGGTGGACCTGCAGACTGCCCTTGTCCTGCATCTGCCCCTGCTGCTTCTGCATCACGGTGGCGGTCGAGTTCGCTCTGGCCTTGATCAAGGCTCCTATTCTGGTCATGAAGTGGTTCACCTCCAAGATCCCCTGTTGATACACATATGATCTCGAACGTTTTTGTTGTCGTCGTCGTCATCATACATTCGAGCTCGCTGCTCGAGAAAGACTGATAGTTCGAATTGATTCATTCGTGCGAATTTCCGGTACATACATCGCTTCGCCGCGCATTTATTTGATTTGCTAGATCTTTCTTCTAACTCGGTTTGTAGACCATTTTCTGTGTAATGATCTCATCAGTTGCAATAATCCTTTAGAGGGTTCTTTTTTTTCTCAAGCGGCTGTGTTGTCTCAAATCATATGTTAGGTGGAAATTCTATTCAACCAATCAGTGATCGTCGTCGCAGATGCTCGACGCCATGGATCGAGAAATTCGGGCAATAGATTAGGGCCTCGGTATAACGGTGCCTCGGGGGGCCATCATCTATGCTAGTGTGTGAACGGACATTTCGAATACTTTAGAGTACCGATGGCGAGCCCGTGGACCGAAAAATGAGGATTCCCGCGGCTTTTTGATCACTTATGATCAATGTTCACAAGAGCGAGGCCGTTCCACATCTTCCAATATCAAAGTAGCATTCCTGTCGAAAGGTTCTTCAGGAGTCGCTTTAGCTTTACCCAATTGTCGTCTAAAAAGTCGAGTGCGATGACCTCGACGACGACAGCGACAGCAATGGCGATAGATCGAAAGCTAGTTTTTTTTTTATCACATATCGGTGATTAAAGACTCTTGTAAATGGCTTAACATTAATTTTTCGATGGAAATTTTCTCCAATCATAGAATTTAAATGCGCGCATGTGAAATCTCCAAACCGTCCACCATCATTTTCACTGCATAAAATAGATCGCCACCGCACATGACAAATCTCTTACGAAAGTGGAGAATCGGCTTGGTCAATGTCACGCACGTGTCAACTGGGGCCCGCCAGCTGCACGTGGCAGTCCCAGCGTGGTCAACGCCCGTCGATGGGGCCCACGGTGAGAATCTGCCGGAGATTTGTGCGGTCCAGTGGGCGGGCCCATTTCTGACGATCATGGCACGAACCGGATCTTGCATCACCCGACCCGGTTGCCCGAAACAAGCATTATTAAAAAAAAAAAAGGGCTAGTTTCGTGCTTTTCTTTTTTCTTTTTTTGAAAAAAGATATGAATTGCTCTTTCAATTTGGTGATGTGGTGTCGACCGCAAGGCTCCGTTTATCTCACAGAAAATAAATGATTTGAAAAATATTTTTTTAAAACTAATCTCTTATATCGCGTGAAATAAGATTTTCGTAAACATATTTCATCCATAGCAATTTACGTTTAAAGATTTTCGTAAACGATGAAGATATTTTTCGTTAATTCATTTTTGTAAACGATGCAAGCGATCGATTTTAAGAAATTGTTATTCCAATCATTTACTTTCCATGAAACAAGCGGAGCCTAAAAATTTCAGTCAAATTGAGAATTACGGAGCCATCGGTTGGTAAATTCTAAAATTTGGAATTTAATGGTCATTAACTGTCTATGTGTCTTCAAGGAGCAGTGAACCTTCATCGTACCTATTAATTATAAAATATTGGTATATTTGTAGCTAGGGATGGAGATTCGCCATGTAAAATTAGCCTTGCGATCAAATTGTTCTTACTTTCTAGTTTAATTTACCTAAAATTAACAAAGGCCCAAATCCTAACCTCATGCGTCTCTCTTTCCAAATAGAATATTTACATATTAAATTATACATTCATCTAACAGTTTAAACGTGTAGAACAATTGATTGTTGTCCCATAAAATCTCACATGGTAACAAAGCAAGAGATCTCGAATTCAAATCTTTCTAAACCCCTATTTGCCTCTCAACAAAATATTTTCCCGCTTAGTATTGGGCAACAAGACTAATTGTGAAACTTTTAGAATAGTTGGCTATAGTATCACAAAACTCCATATCCTTCATTGCCACCTCATCCCATCATTGCCCGTGAGTCGTCGAATGTCAGAGCCGAGACCGAGACCCCACCATCATGCCCTCTATTCTTGAAGATGGATTTCCTCGCAAGGGTCACAATCGTCGTGAGCGACGGCCCAGCCTCGAGCGGACCTAGATTTGGTGTCGCCCGAGACCGGCGTGTTAGTATTTGATTTATGTGACAAGAATGCACGTGGAAGACTTCACGGCAATGGAACAAGGAAATAGAGCTTCTCTAGTTTATAATAGTGGGTTTTACTGATATAGGTAGAGCATTCTTTGGAAGATAGTTTTTGGTTGCTCTTGCGCACTCTCCACCCATCATCCCTAGCTCTGTATAAAGAGCATTATAACTTTCTTAGCGACAAAAAAGCTCTGCCATTTTGCAGAGATAGCATCACAATTTTATCCAAGATTTCTGTTTCTTCTACAGGTATCTACCTCTCATGTATTTACCGCCACTCATTTTACTGACCTCAGACATACTAGAATTTTGTTGATTAATCTAGAAATACCAGAAAAATGAATCGCTGTTTAACACGGCGACGTCGGATCCGAGCTCGCGACCTCGAATCCGAAGTCGTTTCTACAACCCCTCTACACATTAGATGGCGTCTTTTATGGTGGGAGTATGCAGTAGAAATCCGATACCTTCACCTAGGAAGTTCGCTAAGAGAGAGCCCAAGTTCAAATCTGTTCACATATCTAGTTGGACTACCTTCACTCAAAAGCTTAAGCCAATGAGTTATGAGCCAACTAGGATATATTAACTACTCCATACCACACCAATTCTCCAATGTGAGATTTCTCTAACACAATTCACACGTGTATTTCAACATTTTATTCAATAAACAAGTTTTAACTTCCAACAGAAAAAAAAAAAGCTAGGAGGGAATACTATGCTTAAACCAAAGATTAGGGGTGCCAAATGGGTGGGTCATGTCAGATCGGGTTGGGTTTGAGTTGCGTTAGGTCAAAAATGGTCCAACTCAAATTGACCCATATTAACCTAAATTTTTGCAATACAATTTTGACGACCCATATTTGACTCGATCCCAACCCAATCCATACCCGAACTATATTACTAAAACACATCCATACTTAACCCTAACTAATAAATCCCCACCCATTTAACCCTCTTCATCTTAATGTGTTACTTCGATAAAAAATTATATCAAATTAAAAAGTAAAATAACAAAATATGAAGATGTAAGTAAATAAAATGAAAAAAAAATCAAAGATACAAGGAGTGCATTTGGTTTAGCTTTTCCAAGGAGTTTTGGGGAAATGCAAAGGACTTAAGCCTAAAGGGCCTTGGGAAAATGCAAAAATTGTTTGGTAAATTGTGCTTTGTGAAGCAACTTTGAGATAAATGTCGTTTGGTTGAAACACATTTGAAAAGCCCTTTGGCTAACCAATTTAAGCTTTTTAATTTTTAATTTTTTTAAAAATTTGAAAAAACGATGACCGCAATTTATAAAATTTGAATATTAACATATTAACAGATTTATAAATTTGAGAAAATTACATTTCTTTTCTGGTAAAAAAAATCAAATTCAACGAATATAACCATGTATTAAAAAATTCAACACATTGTAAGGTGCAAAGATGAATTGTGACAATCAACTATAATTGCTCAATCTTACACAGCAAAACACTGGTAACTATTAGAATTGCTCAATCTTGCACAGCAAAACACTAATTATTAGAAATCTCAGGACCCACCCAATGTTGTAGTTTTTTCAATCTCAGTTGCAGCCAACACACTAATCATGCTCAATTAAAAGTTTTTTCCATTCTCAAGCTGCAAAATTGCTCATATCTCACATCGATCTCAAGGTGCATTTATGCATCGTTAAAATTGACTCAAAGTTACACAGCATACATCACTCATCAACTGGAAATAGATATTGATTCTTCAGCAAAATAACATTTCATTTATTAACATGAACTGATTACATCAAGGGTCAAGAAACAAAAATTGTACAGCTAGAATGATTCTCCCATCTATTCTGAAATCTCATAGAAGAGTCTACGGCCCGGCAACTACTATGGCCAGGCAACTACTCCCTCAGCTTGACATGACAAAACTTGAGCCTCCGACCCACACTACAGTGAAGCCCATTGTTGCCATTGCTTTCCAACTCTTGAATTGCATCAACGGCGCTAATCGAACTAGTCAAGTGGGGCTTCAGTACACCAACTGCTTCCTTTATCTTCGATTGCTACAGAACACGTACATAATTAAAGGCTGGACGAAACATCGCATGCTAAGTTTGTGCTACCGTCAGTTACTTTGTTAAAAGGGCAAGGAAAGATTATATACCGAGCCTCTGTACAAAGCAAGAGACCGGGAATGCAGACCCAACTACTCATCACAGTCAATTCATGGCATTCAAACTAACTCATTCGCATTATTCCTACTTCAAGAAGCTGAGCTATTCGTCACCACAACACTTCACACTTACACAGACCTCTTCTCCACCAATTGGAATTTTATGGGGGACACACGAAAAGAAAAATTCTAGGCAACATTGAAAAAAGAGCAGCAAGTAAACATTGATGAACCCAGAAGCGCATGGAACGACAAAGTGTACCCATTTCAGCAGCTATAACGAGCAACAATCAATCAAAACTCCAATCAATTAGAACGGTAAGTTATGTTTTGATGAACCTAGAAGATCATGGAACTCTACTCAACATGGACTCAAACTCACAGTCAACAACCTCACTACCTTCTCTCTGGCGCTCTTAAAAATGGGTTCTTGTTTCATAATACAAACAGACCACGAAAAGCACAGATCTAAGCAATCGAAAGCAAAGCCACCGAAGAACGAGAGAGAGATTAACCTGCGGAGAGATGCGATTTGAAGGCGAGTGAGAGAGCGAGCAATGGGTGAGGAACTAAGTGAAGAGATGGATTCTTGTGCGAAACCAAGGAAGCGAAAGAACGGCAATCGAGCAAGAGAAATGAGCAGGAGTGGAGGCTCTCGCAACTCAAGCACAGTCGAGCGTCGAGCGAGGGAATGAGAGGTGGAGGTTCTAGAGAGGTAAGGGTCTTATTTTATAAAAGGGGCAAAATTGGGCTTTTCAAAAGATTTTGAGGGCAAAAAGGGTAACTGACCAAATTTCATTAATTCATGGAAGTAGCATTCCGAAAATGCTGAAAGCTCAAAGCAGGTCCCCACCTGCCTTGGGCTTTCAGCATTCCTAATGCTAGCTTTCATTTGAAAGCTCCTTGAGAATGGTTGTCAAATACCTCAAATTTTTTCTAAGGGGCTTTGAGGCTTCAGGGGACTTTCAAAATGCTGAACCAAACGCACTTTAGAGCCGCCCTTGAAGAGCTTGAAGGGGAGATGATATGCTGCAGCTTCACGGTGCCAGAGACACCCTCGAACATGCTAGAGCCATTGGCAATGGCGAGGAAGGTGTCCTGGTAGGTAAGGTAGGGGCCCGGACGGAGATGTGCCCGTAGTTGCTGAAGTAGAAGCTGTAGATGGCCCCGTAGCAATTGCTGCCCTTGTCAGGGTGGTTCTGGATGAGGATGCAGAGACAGAGGTGACCCCGAGGCAGCATTAGCGATCACCGGAGTAGAGCTTGTTGGTGAAGGGGACCAGGTCACCGAGGGAGTTGACACCCTTCTAGCTCAGCCATTGCTTCGGTTGTTGTCGGAGTGCCACGAGAACGAATCAGCCGCCCTCTTCCGGTGGTTTCATAATGAAAAGTATGGGTCGACCACGACGCTGCTATCCTTAGCTCCGTAAGCGAAGACCTTTGTCTCGGGGTCCTCAATGGGGAGGTCAAGGTTGATCGTGCGGACAATCAGGGTGAATGTTTGGCACGGTGGAAAGGGTGGCGTTAGTGTTTTGCGGTGGCAAATATGGTTGACTGAGGAGAGAGAGGGACGATTGGGAGAGACGGAAGAGGGAGACTAAGGTTGCGCATGACAATCATTCTGTGCCCGGAAACAGATTCTGGTCAGAAATGATTCTTTTTGATTCTGTGCCCAGGAACTGATTCTGAGCATTTGAAGGCGTTTGGTAACGGCCCAAAATTCTGTGCCCGGGAATAGAAATGCGTTTGATAATGGCATAAAATTTCTTTTTATTAATAATATTTTAATAACATTTTAAATATTTTAATATTTCTTTCTTTTCTTTTTTCCTTCTCCTCCTTGGCCATGACCGGTAAAATATTTTTTAATTAATAATACTTTTATTAAAAATAATTTTTTTATTTTTTTTTGCCATGGCCGGTAAAAAATTTTCTTATAAATAATTTTTTTATTAATAATTTTTTTTAAAAATATTTTACTAATTGCCATGGCCGGTAAAATATTTTTTTATAAATATTTTTTTATTAATAATATTTTAATAAAAAATATTTTTATTGAAATTATTTTTTTATTTTTTTTGCCATGGCCTAGTCGCCGGCCATGGCCGGTAAAATATTTTTTTATTAATAATATTTTTTTATTAAAAAAATTTCAATAAAAATATTTTAATTTTTTATTAAAAAATATTTTTATTGAAAATATTTTTATATTTTTTTCGCCATGGCCTGGTCGCTGGCCATGGCCGGTAAAAACTTTTTTTATTAATAATATTTTTTTTATTTTTTTCGCCATGGCTCGGTTGCTGGCCATGGCCGGTAAAATTTTTTTATTAATAATATTTTTTTATTAAAATATTTTAATCTCGCCAAATACGGCGAGGGTGGCCCTCATGCCGGACATTAGAAGCTATATTAAAAATCAAGAAAAAGAAGAAGAAAAAAAAATTGATTCTCTTTTTTGTTCCCAGAATCAAGAAGCTACTTTTTTTTAGTTCTTGATTCTACTCCAAAACTGATTATGGGCACAAATTTGCAAGAATTTGTGCTCAGAATCAAAAAATTAAACAAACGGATTTCTATTCCCAAACTGATTCTGGGAACAAAAGAACAGAATCAAACACTATTTGGCAAGTTGCCTGCGCAGCCTAAGAGAGAGACCTATTTTGCTTGGCTCAAATTTGGGTCATAAGCAAATCCATCATCCTGTCTTTTAGGCTTTCATTTTCTTTTTAACCCACTTAGGCCAAATTTACAAAAAAACGAGTTACCCATATAAAAATGGGCCTCATAAAACTAAGTTACACATGGATACATGACCCATTTTTCCAGCTCTACCGGAGATTCATGGTTCAACTATAAAAAGCTTCGCCTTCTTGAGAGTTGCAAGTATGTTGTCGTCTCCATGTGTGACGGTTATCTCATCTATGGGCAACTTTTGTTTCAGGAAGTCGTAAGCTTTCTTGGTCATTTGGCACGGGTATGAGATTCCAAATGCAGTATGGATCCATGGATGGTCTATTGGTACTGATAGAATTATAAATTTTAAATCACGTCTTCATCTAATAGCTTAAGTTTTTCTAATAGTTAGCAGTGATCTCACAAATCTCATATGATATCACAAAGTTAGAGGTCCTGAGTTTAAATATTTTTAGATCATATTTATCTTCTCAAGTAAATATGTTCACATTTAGTATTACGCAAAAAGATTAAACCAAACATAAGGCAGAGTGAAAATCAAATTAAACATAAAAATAAAAAGCGATAAAATATTTAAATATTAAATTACCCTGTAAAATCTCAAAGGCATCAGATAGGATATGCTCAGCCGGCGAAGGGCAAGCACGTGATTGCTTGCATCAGCGATGGGAGCTCTCAGGTCAATGACAATCTTATTTAGATAAACAGTATGACACCTTAAATATCTGCAGATATTATTGCACATTGAGAGTGGTACGCAGTAGATCTTTTCTTCGATCAGATGACAACTCTAGATATATCGTCCTTGTTCCGATGCGAGCAAAAAAAAAAAAAAAACCCCAGAAATAACTAATAAACATTGCATATAGAAATCATGTTAGGGTATGCATATTGCATGCATTGTGTGGTCTTAAGTTAATATCTTGCAGACCACTTGATGTATTGGACATAACGGAACTGTGCTTTTGATTTGATTAGCGCATCAAGTTTTTCTATCTCTTCAAGCAATTTATTTATTGCTTTAATTTATTGAGTTTTAAATTTTTTGTTTACGTATCCACATGATCACCCATCACATGTTAGTAGTTTATGATTAAAATCAACGAAGATTGCTTATAAAATATTTTTGAAATAAAGAAAAAATGTATAAAAAGGATGTTAAATTTTATCTAGCGGAACCAAGTCCTCATATCCATGAATTTTTGGTTCATAGAAGTAAGATATTCTCCCGCATTTTACTTGGAACCTAATTGACTCATAATAAATTAATAGTGATTTTAAAATAAATTGATTTGCATGTTTAATTAATTAAATTAAAACCTCAAAATTGTGATTGGTATGAGCTTGGTGAGTTTGCGCTAAGTGTTTACTTAGTAATTTATTAGCTTTCCCTTGGTTGTTCAGCTTTTTGAAAGTCGCGACAACTTGACGATTCTGTTGGGGTCTGAGCTTTCTCTTTCCGAAAATAATTTTTTTTGGCACCATAAAGACAAGGTACGTTACTAAGGATAGGTGTTAAATGTTCTTGCGGATGAGAGTTATCAGAGGTGGGGTACTTGCTAATCCTTGTTTTACAGAGGGGTTTTAGGAAAGCATGCCTTATACGATATTGAAGCAGCGTTCTCTTTACAAACTGTGTGCATACTTTATATGCCATAGCACTACGCTTATGCACACACATCCCAGCATCGTACCTAGATCGCATATTAAGGAAAAGCACTAGGATGGTGTTGAGAGTATGCAACTTTGTTTGTGAGACTGCGACACTTAGGGCCGCCCCTTTCAATCCCAAACTTTCTTTCTTGGAGTCAAAAGTGTTTATTTTTTGTCCACGAGACTGCAAGACCATAGGGTAACCTTTTAATTGAGCTGATGTCAAGAGGACCCGCCCTAGCCTCGAGACTATGCACTAGTTGGGTTACCCTCTTGGCCCCAATTGCTAAGCATTTTAGTATATCTCACATTTAAGCGTCAAACCTCATAAATATATGTGCATGTCTCTGAAATGAGATCCTATTTTGTTTAAGGTTTCGATCGTACAACAATCATGGGTTGATTAATGGAGATTGTCTCCATTTGTCTATTTGTGGTTCCTTTAGAAGTCACTTGTGAGAGGTTCTTTTCTGAGTTCATTTACACTCATACGTAGTTCCTACCAAATAGATGATAGGATTTAGCAAAATTCCTAAATTTTATATTCTGTTCTATACAACCCTATCCTGATTAGAATATCAAACTGCCAAACACAACCTACAAGTTCATAACCATGTGTGCATGGCACCAAAGTTTACACAAAATGTATAAGAAACTATTAAGTGGTTCCATATCACCACATCAGCTGGAGATGTGTCACGCATTTATGTGCCCGTCCAATTTTAGCTTGACACGTGAATTTGACTTGGAATCAAATTTAAAAAAAAAACTAAAAATCCGATTTTTTCTCTTCCTCCTCCAAGCACCTCTCCCTTTCTCCTCCATCTACACCCGCTTTGAGCCACGAGCGATGACGAAAAGGGTTCAGATGACGCTGACGCGAAGCCTAGGCCGCGAGCAGTCAGACTTCCAGATCTATAGATATGGAGTAGCTCTGGCCGAGGGTTTAAACGATGCCGACTACGAATCCTTGGCCACAAGCGCCCAGATTTCCAGATTTGAATTTGGGCGCTACTACAAGTTTGGGCGAACGACACTGACGAGTACCATGGACAAGTGCCGGCGTCGCTTGAGCCTGGCTCGTCCACCAGCCATGGCTGCAGCGTGCGAGGTTGAGATCCCAATGGCCAAAATTTGGTCCATGGGCGCGATGGGCAAGGTCGAGATCCCTAACTTCACCGTGCCTCCAAATCTGGTGAACGAGCTTTACATTTGGCCATGCCTTCTGGTCTTGCCATGACCGGCTCAAAGCCTTTGGCCATGGCTGAGATCCATGGCTGGCTAGTGGTCCATACCGGACTCGACCATGGTCGCAAGCCTTTGGCCGATGGAAGAAGAAGAAGAAATTTTTTATCTTTTCATTTTATTTTATATTAGCGAACACATGTCAACTTATAAATAGAAACCATACTAGTGAAAAATGGGTTGTTAACACTAGGGATGATCAGTTCCCGGTCCGGTTCCCAATTTTGGGAACCGGTGATCGGAACGGTTGGTCCTAAGACCGGGAACTGATCACTTTTTTTGTTTTTTTTCCACCACAACGAGATAGAGTGACAAATCT